CTTCTTTACACAGCGTTACACAGCGTGTAGTCAGAGTATGGAATAGTCTTCCTGCTATTGTAGTGGAAGCTAAAACCATGGGTTCCTTTAAATCAGAGCTAGATAAGATTTTAACAACTCTGAGATATTAGCTAAGTTCTCCCCAAACGAGCTTGATGGGCCGAATGGCCTCCTCTCGTTTGTAAATTTCTTATGTTCTTATGTTCTTATCTCTTCTGGACCAATACTGAATGTCATTAGTCATTAAGTGCCATTGGTTCAATTATGGGGTGATCTGTCTCAAAATTGACCACTTTTCAGTTTGTCACCCCTACAATGTGCCTGCAAAGTTTTAAAACAATCCCTTAATTACATACTTTTAGAGTTACTTTGTTCACAAGACCAAGTGTCTTCTATAGCTGCCGTTTCCTTCCTTTGCAACACATGAAATTGGTGATCAGAAGACCAAACTTTGATGAACTCCAGGCAAACGCCCCCGCAGTGATGTAGGAAGTAGTGTGACAGTAACAGTCCACTTTTTCTGGAAACATAACTGACAGAAATATGTCACCCCTTTCTTGCTGGCCAACTAGGCAAGAGCAGAATGTTGCTTCCATACCAAACAACCATGCACCAGCTCTCAGGACTCTTTCATCCATTTGGAGAATGTACCAAGTTTCTCTGCTCAGGGCACTGCAGCAGCTCGCTGACCTACAGAAACCCCACCATCCCTGTCCCTGTGACACACAGAAGATTGCTGTAACCAGGGCTGCACACCTCAGCATTCTGAAGGATTCTGAAACGATTTCATGGCATTTTGCATTCCCAGGGCCTGGACTTGACTTGCGCTGCAGTTTCTGCTGACTGCCCTCTTGCTGTCTGGGGCCCCCCGGGATGCTGTCTTTGGCTGCGGGATGGTTCACAGCGCGTTGGAGATTATTGCCCTCTGCCTGGGGTTAATCGGTCTGATCGGGGTGTCTGTCATCTTGGGGATGCCCATGTTGAAGGTGACAGCTTCCATCAGGGCCAGTGGCTGCTACTCACAGGCCAACATCTGGATGCAGTGCAAGGTGTATGACTTGATGGCCGATCAGTAGACTAATGAGCTGCTCCCTTGTGCTGTTGGGCCTGGGCCTGTTGGTGGTGCTACCGGGCATGCCCTGTGTTTCCTGGGCCTAGCACAAAAGGCAGACTAGGAGCACAATGGATAGTGGCCGGCACCATGCTGAGCCTGGCTTCCATTTACGTTCTCATCATCTCCTGGACACTACGGAGTAGTTGGGCCCTTGAGCGAGGCCCTTAATCTGCAGTTGCTTCTTCCTGGTTATGATGTTAATCTACATCCAGCCCTATAAGGAGGCCCTCCAACTTACAGGGAAAGACTTGGGTGTTGGTGGCAGGATTGTCACTCCAGTTACCAGAAAAAAACAGGTATCGCCCGCTGCGTGGCTGCACTCAGGTTCTCATCCCTGAGGTGGTTTGTCGTGTGGTGGGTGTGGCAATGCACGGTAATCAGTGCATGCTCCTTACCTGCTCTTCCATCTCCTCGATGGGCTACGTCATCATCCAGGACTCCTACAGCCCGCTGCTGATGGATGCACAGAGCCGCGAGCTGAGGGATGCGCTGGGTGACCAGCAGCTTCTTCCTGGCCTCCAGGCTCTCCTGCATTCATATGATGTTGATATCTGACTCGCTTAACATGTCTCACCCACAAGCCCTCAGGCTCATCGCATTTCAGCGCTCCCTGCACGTTCCCAGTTTGACCCCCTATCAGCCCGTCATCCTGTGTAAATCCTGCGCCTCCAGCTTCCTGCCAGATACTGTCTTAGTCGCATTTCCTGCGGAATGGATATCCCTGCATAATGCCGGTCAGATACATGCCGACCCTGCTCTGTGTGGACAAACTTCAGGGTGGAAACAGCCTTTTGGGCAGAAAGCTGTGGTCTGCAGGACGCAGTCGACCCACAATGTCAGCTCGCTGAATCCTTTTCAGCTTTCTACAGGAGATCTCCCCAGAATCATGCCTATTACTGCAAGCACCCATAGACCTAAGCTTCTGGTGTTTTTAAATGATGGCTCTTTTGTTCAGCTTCTGTCTTTGATAATCAGTAGTACTGAAAAATATATGTATTAACCGAAAAAGACACAATATTTAACTGACATGGCCATGTGGAAGGTTGTATTGTGTAACTGAATATATAATTGTGTGTAAATAGTGTATATGTTTCACTGCATTGAAATAAGCCTACATTTTTTATTTTAATGTATTGATTATTTAAATAACCAAATTGTGAACTGTGAGTGTGGTTTGTTATTAATGTACAGAGTCGGACTGTTTCCTGCACAGGGCACAGCTGCGCCTTTTGAATTCTAATGACGCTGTGCAGAGAGAGAAAGAGAGAGTGAGCGAGGGAGAGAGAAAGAGAAAACATCTCTCTTAGGTCAGTGGAAGAAAGCAATGTCAGCAGTATTCCTCGAATTTTTGTAGGACGATGAAACGGTCACTTTACAGTATGCCTGTTTCATCTGGTGTGTGGGTGTTTGTTTGAGTAGGAAGCTGGAAGTCCTAGATGTTTGGATTTTTACATTTTCCTTGCTAAACTCTGCATAATTTGATAAATATTGTATTATTTTATTTTTGACTTATTAACACCTGAGTGTTGCTTTCTCAGACATTGTAAAGTGATCTATTTTTAGATGTTATGTTATTATTAATTATTAATAATTCATTATTATTATCGTCATCATCATTATCATGCCCCATCCTGGATTTCTCCCTGCCTTGTGCCCATAGCCTCTGGACCCCTCGCGACCTTGTATACGACAAATGGTTACAGAAAATAAATAGATGAATGGATTATTATAATCATCATCGCCAGTATTTTTATTTGTTTATATATTAACCTTGCTATATGTTTAACTGGTTACACGCTCCTACAATAATTATGTTACTATGAGAAATCACCTGACATGTGCTTTTGCAGTCAATTTGACCCCAGACTTGGGATTCGGTCCTATGCAATCTCACACTGAAAATGATATGAGGATAATTTATATTTAGCTAAAACAAGGAAAACTGAGCAAATAAGGGACAAGGAGCAAGACAAGGAACCAACTAACATACAGAAACACCAAAAACAAGAAAGCACTGATATCCAATAACAAACAATAGGGAAACCCAAAAAAGGAGAACAGCTGAGACTGGTTTCTGGGCAGTGTTGAACCGATAACTGGAGAATTTACCAGTCTGAGCCACACACTCGACTCAGTGAGCTATGCAGCAGACCAGTGAACTGGGAGAACACACTAGAGGTACAGGACTACAAGATGGAGGAGGGAACAGGATGGCTAACCACCTGCTGGTCAAAACGGAAACTTGTAGGACAGGGTCAGATGGGTGCCGACCCTGAGAGCTGAGACACAAACACACATTGACGGCAATGTAGAGCACATTTGTAAAGGGTATTGACAGGACGGTAACAAGGAGACAACAGTAATTCCGGAGAACCGGTCGAGATGTTTTTTTTTCCCAAAGGCTACCAGATTTTAGGCTGAAGGGAAGAGACATAAAATGCTTTATTGCACAGAAACAGGTGGCGCTAGACGCAGGAATTCACCCAGTGTGTAAGAAAAAACGAAATGATGTTGACACATACAGCTCCTCACTTGGTAGCTTAATGGTTGTGAAAACAAAAACCGTTGTGCGTGACGGTTTCTTGCACCTGCTGCAGCGCCGTTAATTAATCAGCTTGCTGTGCCACTCCGGTCCGTACGGCATGTTCATTTTAGTGCCATTCCAGCAGATGGCACTAATAAACAAGTAGTTAAAGTAGTTAAAATGTAATTTCAGTGCCTGATCTAAGACCTGATTTGCTCCTTTTTCTGTGGCTAATTCAAATATTCGTTTTCGAGTAGGCTATGCCTATAGGTCTATTTTAACATCGAAACAAACAACAGAAATAATACTTTTCTTTTTTACATTTTAATTTTATTTAGCAGCCGCCCTTTTCCCAAGCGACGTAGACCATAGACATTTTTGTAGGGAAAACCGGGCCGGACAGTCCCTGGAGCAATTCGGGATTGGGGGCTTTGCTCAAGGGTCCTGCGGTAAAATGACTCTGCCGACTGCGGTGATTTTACCATTGCAGGCACCGCCTCCTGAGCCACCATCACAATAGGCCTAGTGATAATAATAAAATCATCGCTGAAAAGTTTGCCAATGTCACGCTTCTTGCAATATAGCACTTTAAATTGTTTTGATCCCAAACAAATCGGTATAGGTATTTGTAAGTACTATTAGTAGCTAGGTTATTTCATAATCTCGTTTACTCGCCAGGCCCGCTTTCGCGTTCAGCACTGGATTTTTCAACAAGTGTCCATTCAGCCAAACGCAAAACCTCAACATCTGACCCAGCTCCGGTAACGTATCCTGTCTTTACATTTTCTGTAGACGTGTAAAAGGTGTTTTTTCCGTTGAGACATTATTTATGACATTGTACTAATATATTATACAGGTCAGTTTTGGCGACTTTAAATCATATTCAGATTTATTTGGGGATACGAAATACTGTCGCGTAAACTGAATAACGTATTTAATATCTTCTCTGGCGAGTCAATGGACATAAATTAAAGTCATTTTATTTATTTGAAGCTTTGTTTGTCTTACTCAAGCTTAAGTATTTGGGAATTGAACCGAATCAAAAATAATTTATGGAAACATGTATTTTGTGAGGTCGGCGAGACAACAGGGAACAGGCCAACTGCTTTTATTTCCCATTCGGCCGTAAAAGATGAAACTGAGCGCTGCTTAATGTGAGGCAGCGGCGCCTCTTATAGATCCCCGCTTCCGTCAGGACTCCGCACGCGCCCCGCCAGGGGTCCGATCCCGCGCGCCGCTGCGCTCCAGCGTAATCTACGCCGAACTGAAGGGATACACGTATTACCGGGACGGACCCGCAGCACTGATGGGGTAAAACTGAGGAGAGAGCCGGACTCGTCCGGACCTCGCCGACGGCAGCGACGACAGAGACGACAGAAGGACATCTAAAGCGACAGAATGCGACAGGTTCGGGTCGGATGCGAATGTCTGTGCGCTTACAGAAAGGAGCGTCGGGAGATTAACAAGAGGAATTAAGAGAAACCGATGTCAACGTTAAATCTCTTTCCCCGACGTGGACCATGGAGAAAAGAATGGGGTTTTTACTTCCGTTGCTTTACTTTATGGCAGAGTTTTATCTGAGTTCGCAGCAAGTCCTTAGAATCGGTAAGTAACAAGTATCATACAGTTTTATATGCATGATATTAAACGGTTTTTACTTATTTTGTTTACCATGGTTTGGACTGAAATTCTGCTTTATCAGGATGTTGCCTTTCCTTAAGTATGTTTTGTGTAATCTAGGAACGTTCTTCGTTTTTACAATGATTTTTGATTTTATTTAGATATGATTTGCCTTCTTTATTCTTCAGCTGCTGATCTCTCTGACCACTTAATATGAATAACATTGACACTGAGACCTGTCGATGTACATATTGAGTGAATTTTCCCTCTAATGGTTAGTAAAAGTAAATAAATGTCCACGTTACTATATATTTTATTCAGTCCAACCTGTACCAAGTCACACTTTTGTGGATAACTGTAGTTCGACCTCGGTACTCATATCACTACGTGTTTTAAAGTGCAGCATCTGCCGAAAAGCAAACCAGAGAACGCCAAACATTTAACTGCGACGGGTCTGATAGTTTTCTTTCTCACACATACGCTCATATTATTTCAACCCACCAGGAATAAGCTAGTATACCCAAACTGAAAACGTTGGTAAAGAGAGAAACGTTTTTTCTATTTCTTTCTCGATTAATTTAGTTTAAAGAATCCCCACCAGATAAAATAGCAATCCACCTTCTGCGCAATATAAGAAATCCTTGTTATCTGTTCCCATTTAAGACAAAAACAAGTGCTAGCTCAGTCACACCCCAAATACTGTGGCTTGCTTTTTCAATTTTTCGGAAAAAAAAAACAAGGGCTTTGAAATTAAACAGACGTATGTAGGCTTTAAATAAATTTTAATATAAATATGTTATCTGATCTCTTATGCAATCTATGGAATGAATTTTGTGTGTGTGTGTGTGTGTGTGTGGTTGAGAGTGAAAGAGGATATTCCATATTTGAGAATGAACAATTACAGGGTATGTGTGATTCTCCAATGACACTTTCACAGTGGAACTGCTTGAAAGTCAGCCCTGTCACTCAGTGAGCCCACACCTCCCACCTTTAACCAGTTTCCCATCTGTAGGTGTTTAACATTTTGTAGATGGTGGAGATTATTCAAAGTATTATGAACAAAGTCATTTTCTGTACAAAGAATCAGATCATGCTTCTTGATGATGAGCAAAGCTTGTTTATTCAAGACAGGTCAATGTTTACACATCATCAGACAGGCTCTGATATAACTCTGTAACTAATGCTTGAAAGAGTTCAATATCTCCTCTGCTTTCAATGTTATGGTCCGCCCTGAATATTGCTAGTCTTACAAAATTAGCTGTGGAAGTCCAAAAACTGGTAATCTTTGTAGTTTTTATGATGCTTTGGGAAATTTAGTGATCCTCTCGTGGAGGAGATTTGTGTGACTTGGTTTCCGTTGGAGGGTTACCTCTTTGTCCGGGATTCCTTTAAATGTTGAGCAGTAATTTCATTCCCATCAAGGCTTTATTCCTGCTGTCCTTCCAGGATCATGAAATGAACGCGTGCTTTCACTCAGACTGTAGCTGTACTGTAGTTCCCAATCACATATTCAAATATCTTATTATTATGATGCATAATATAACAGATATACATTACTTTTACATGCCTTATTTATCTTGTGTCTCAAAGCACAAACACTATTAATAACTTGCCAACTCCAAAAGTTTGTATCAGAATGATCTACATTAATCAACACAACCTCACAAGATATTATGGAGCTGGACACGACCCACAGGTAAAAATTATTTCAGACTGTTGTCTTAAAGCAGAAATGTTTAACTGACCACAAAAAATGTTTTATCCCATAGACAAAATGCACATCAAATCTCTCCTTCAACCATAACAAGTAGATTAATATTTCATTAATTCAGAAATTAGATGCCTATCTCTCATAACTCTTTGTATTGGGTCGCGTGTTGGTCCTATAAATGTTTAGCTAAACCCATGATGTTTGCCCCTTTGTCAGTAATAAATCAGTATTGTGCACATCCTACATACAGGCCTGCATATGTCCTGTGGTTTACCGTCTTCATTTGGCACGAAGTCACAGTATTTCCAGACGTCACTCTGGCTGCACTTTTTATCGATTTAAGCACGGTGCTGAAAGCTCTGACGCTTCTGAAATTGTCATCTTACACCTTGAGTGTGAGACTACACTCAGGTCTAGGTGTGCACCTTGGGAACCTATGGGCCTCAATGGTCACAGTGAACCGGAAGTGCAGGCTGTAGAATCGATATCATGAAAAACGAGTATTGAAGCGGTTTTATACACAATAGAATCGATGCTTTTGATACTTTTGATAGCACTACTGGTGGTAAAGCACTGGAAAACCTAGGGTAGACAGAGCTCTGGTGGCACATTCATTCTAGATTAGATTAGGGTTAGATTAGATTAACTTCCCTGATCCCAGAGGGAAATTCCTGTGCATACTGCAGTGTAGTACATAGAGCATACAAACTGTACATAGTGCAAAACAAGCAGTGTGCAAAGACAGTACACATAGTGCAAACACTGTAAACACTCAAATCGAAAAGTACACAAATACCAACCTGAGAAGACAGAATATTGCCAAGATGGGATGTTATGGCTGGGGGTGGGAAGTGGAGCGTTGGGAGGAGGCATGTAGTGCCTGATAGCAGCGGGTAAGAAGGATCTCCATGAGCAGCTGGAGACCCAGCTGAGGTTCATTCACAGCACGGTGCTCCAGGATAGCGCCCCCTGCAGTGGATGGGCAGAATTGTTCATAATGTTGTTTAATTTTTCCTACATCCTCTTCTCTGCCACTGCCTCCTTGGGTTCAGGGTCAGTCCCGTGCTGGAACTGCCCCCCCCCATGAGTTTCTTCATGTGTTTGGCATCACTTTACCTGATGCCACCTCCCTGTAAGGCCACAGTGCAGAAAAGCACAATAACCACCCTGGACTGACAGCACATACCCAACACCTCACTGCACACATCACAGGATCTGAGCCTCCTCAGGAAACAGGCAGCTGTGGCCTTTCCTCCATAACCCCATGGTGTTGTCCTCCCAGTCTGCTCAGGTGGCCCCCCAGGTACTTGTAGCTCCTCCCCGTCTCCACTTCCTCCCCCTGGGTGGTGCCTACATACAGTGTTAAGGGATTTAGAATGAGTGTGTGAAAGCCCTAGAGTAGCTCTTCAGGTCCAGACCCCTGATGGGGTTTCCTAGGATTGGAGCAGGTCTACATCTTAAATAATCAATTCAAATAACATTTCTGGCAATGCGGTTTTTGGTGCCATCACAGAAAGATGACAGTAGTTCATCTCAGGCGCCTCCTTGGTGCTCTTCTATATGAAGGTACTGTTCCTCAGAGGCGGTTTTTGTTTATATTTTATTATTGCCAGTATGTGTGTTACATCTTGATTACAAAGACGTTTCGAGCCATTTCACTGTTGCTCTAGAAGATTCTCCAGTCAAACTGTTTTTTTTCTTCATATACAATACTGTGAAAAAGTCTTAGGCAGTCCAAGAAGATGATGTTTAAATGATCTTCATGTTGGTGTAAAACTGTCTCAGCTTGGCCATTTCAAAGCCTATTCTAACGCCACTCCAGTGTTTGCAGCAACCATCCAATAAACCAATTTATTTCCTGACCTTGAATACTAATAAAATTTTTCCCTGTCTATACATTTATAGTCAAATTTTCACTCTAATTTCCTAAATTGTTAATTAAGTGATTTGGTGGTGAAATTTAAGAAATACATTTTGTACAGTACAGTACTTCTCCACAAATGGAAATATCCCAGCACTTGTAGGAGTTTATGGAGATGATATTTGTGTTGGCAGGTCCCGATCACTCTATGTAGCCACACTCCCCGATCAATTGCAATCGCCGGAAATCTGACCGCTCTGCTCCGATGTCACTGAAGTTATTTAACCAGTGAAAGCGGTTTTAGATGTTTTAAGGAACTTTACTGTGTCAGCTTACCAAGGGTTCTCCTGTCCTGCTGTCTCCTGCCTGCTTGAGCTCCCTCCTGTGTGCCTTCGGTGTGAATGTCCTCCCAGACCTGATTTCCTGTGACTGCGTGTGCACCTGATCCCTCTCTTCGTGTTTGTGGTTGTAACGGTCTCCACGCCTCTACACCAGTGATTGCCTTTCCCTTCTCTCCTCAGGACAGACCTCTCAGCTTAGTGATTCTAGTTCAGATTGGCTTCGTGTTTTCTATCCATCTGGGACCCCTGTTCCCAGTCCGCCCGTGACGGTATCCTTTATGGGTAACAACAGGGACATATTAGGATGCTGACAAGAAGCAGAAACTGATGTCTGTGAATATAACCGGTTACATGACGATGCCACTTAAAACCTCCCTTCTCCTGGAGTACAAGCCAGTGCCTCTGTTGCCCCAGATCTATATCCACCTTCTGGCATGTTATTGAGAAAATGTCTTCACATCTCGATATGGTGAATGAGTCTGGCTGAATCTCTTCTCATTGGGAATACTAGCAGGTCTTACGACCATAACAAAATATACGTCTTTCCGCTCAGAAATATGAAATTATTATTTTCCTTCTTATTGCATTACTTCTGTAGACAAATTGACAAAAGTCTCTCCTATGGGAGACCCTACAATTCTGTTGCTTTGACACATGCGGACAGTGTGATTACTGTAGTGAGCTGACTGCTGGTGCTATCTGATATTTTGGAATATACATTAATAAAATGTAAATTTAAATGATTTCAATGTAATGTATTCAATTAAACTACCAACTTACAATTTTTTATTTAATAAGGCTTATCTAAAATTTTGTATAAATGTAAGATGCCTTAGCTCTGAATAGCCTATTTAACACTCTGTGCCTCAGTTCTGCTGATGTCATTATCTCCTTGCTCCTACTCTTTGGGAAAGTTGGGAGGTGGTGCTGTGGAGGTAACTCCGCAGAAGTAACTCCAGAAGCCTCCAGTCCTGCTCATCTACCATCCATCAGCCGATAGATAAGGAGCCCCTTACTGGGAGTCACTCAGTACATTTACAGGCACACTAAGAAAATTGAATTATTGTGTTAG